ACCGCTATACGCGCAGACATCTCCGTACACGCGAAATAGGCGCCTGAGAGCTCGCAGCACGCAGCCATTGATCCAAAGGTTCCTACACTAACGTGAACACAAGGGAGCTGAGGAGGCACCCGCAGCACATCAACAAGAAAAACTTGCCGCTCTAGACGCGCTGTACTGCCTGCAGGTATCTGCTGTACGCACCCGCAAAGGTCCACAAGCAGAAAACATAGATCATGAACACCTCCGAGCTTGCACGACTTCTGCACAAGCTAGCACGTCACAGCAAGGTGCAGCACAAGCCTCCACCTGGTCCGTGGCAAGGAAAAGGCCAAACATGTCATGCATCGGCCTCTGGAATATGTACACCTGGAACAGGAACGGATGGCAAGCTAACAACAGTATCACTTCCTTCCGACCTCGAAGCTCACCTCCCCAAGCGCTACCAGTGCCTGCAAGGATCAGCATGTATGCTCCAGGTCCGGATTCCCGTCTCAAGTGCTTCTGCTTTTGGTGTCCGGATACAGCCAACGGCACTGGCTCATCGCAGTAGCACTATCAATTAGAAGCGCAGTAGTAGTAGTAGTAGTAGTAGTAGTAGTAGTAGTAGTAGTAGTAGTAGTAGTAGTAGTAGTAGTAGTAGTAGTAGTAGTAGTAGTAGTAGTAGGTGTAGTAGCAGTAGTAGTAGGAGTAGGAGTAGGAGTAGGAGTAGGAGTGGTAGTAGTCCTCGTCGTCGTCCCCGTCGTCGTCCCCGTCGTCGTCCCCGTCGTCGTCCCCGTCGTCGTCGTCGTCGTCGTCGTCGTCGTCGTCGTTGTCATGTCGTCGTCGTCGTAGTCGTCGTCGTAGTCGTCGTCGTAGTCGTAGTCGTCGTCGTCGTCGTCGTCGTCGTCGTCGTCGTCGTCGTCGTCGTCGTCGTCGTCGTAGTAGTAGTAGTAGTAGTAGTAGTAGTAGTAGTAGTAGTCGTCGTCGTCGTCGTAGCAGTCGTAGTAGTCGTAGTAGTAGTTGTAGTAGTAGTTGTTGTTGTTGTCGTCGTCGTAGTAGTAGTAGTAGTCGTAGTCGTAGTCGGAGTAGTGGTGGTAGTAGTAGTAGTAGCAGCAGTAGTAGTAGTAGTAGTGGTAGTGGTAGTGGTAGTGGTAGTGGTAGTAGTAGTAGTAGTAGTAGTAGTAGTAGTAGTAGTAGTAGTTGTAGTAGTAGTAGTAGTAGGAGCAGGAGTAGGAGTAGGAGGAGTAGTAGTAGTAGTCGTCGTCGTCGTTGTCGTAGTATTATGGCAGCAGCAGCAGCAGCAGCAGCAGCAGCAGCAGCAGCAGCAGCAGCAGGAGCAGCCGATGCAGAGTGTTTCTGGGTGCGATGGCAGGAATTCTGAAATGAGACAACACTGTTTCGACCAAAGTCTCCACGCATCTCAACTCAAGGTATCTGCAAATCCAGGCATCTCAAAGATTGGGACAAGCTGCTCTTTCGGCGAAGTGATACAAGTAAGAATGACGCCTGCTCTTAAGCACATCAAGTGAGGAAAGGCACGCAGTACCACTACCACCAACTTTGAACTTAGCAGTTGCAAGAGTAATACTATGACAGAGCATAGTAGCAGCAGTAGTAGTAGCCTCGTAGGAGAAGTGGTAGTGCTTGCGAGGTAGCAGTAGCAACCTAGTACTGTTAGGAAGCTTGCTGGGCATATGCGGCCCAAGCCAAGAATGAACCTTCATCCGCAACCTGTCAACAAAAAAGTTTGAGACCATCCTCCTTGTCAGGACCATCAATAAAGTCTGGACCGTGAAGTTTGGATTGCAAGCCCACGCATTCATGAACCGAAGACAAGAAAGCACAAGCGCAAGGACAACATTCGAAAAGTTCCAGAGATGAAAACAGGCTCATGAAGTGTACATAGGCAACTGAGCAAGGGACGGGATGCGCCAGAAGCCTGGTGCTCAAGCCTTTGCCGATCGAGGACAGGGAAAAAGCCAACTGGTGGTGCAGGGAGACCTTCCGCTCCCTTCATGCACGAGCCGAGCAGAAAGCCTGCCCAACCGGCTCACTCTTCGGAAGTGACTAGGATGCAGCTGTCAGGCCAGGCCTGCAATGGGCAAAGACAGACCGTGGTCAAGAAGAGGCTCCCAACCATTTAAGTGTAGCGCCTGATCACATCTCTACTGCACTTGCTGTATTCTGCCGACATGTCGAATGGAAATGTCCGAAGACGCCATAGTCCATAAACGCCATAAACGGCAGGGAGCACGGGGGATGGGGCGCTGGCATACGTGGTTCCTGGCCTGGGCACCACAAAGACCACCTGGAACAATCATCACCGGTTCAGCCTCGTTACTCTACTGTAGCAGCATACTACAGAAAGAATGGCACGGCAATGAGCGGCGCCAGCACGATGAAGAGGAGACTGCTGTCGGCCAACAGCCTGGCGCCCGACCACTGCACGGCACGGTCAGACTGATGGTCAGTGACGATCACCCCTACCCCCGGCCTGCTAGGACTCGAAGCATCCCTTTGTAAACCTTGTGAATGCCGAACGCTTGCCTGCCACAACGCAATCTGTCAAGCTGTGCCGATGCGAATCCAAGTGGAGCAGTGGAATGCAAGTGGTGGTGGGAGAGCAGCAGTCGTCATCCCGATGGCAAAGTCAGCCATCTGCGAAGGTGGCCTGAGCTTGCCCGGGCTTTCCCCGAGCCCAATGACATTTCAAACACAGGGACGCTAGACGATTCACCGAATCCCCGGCCGAATTTTATTCTTGTGGCTAAGCTGCACAAATTGGTAGCAAACACGTTTGGCACGTGCCAAAGCCAGACCGGTCCGAGCTCGACAGGAAAAGAGCGATGTCTGAAGCCCAATGCCAAATATGCTCCAAAGACCCTCAACAAAGACCCTCAACATCTCTCAAACCTGCCATTTGTTGGTGTAGGGTGTTGCATTAAGGATTCAAGACGTCACAAGCGAGCTGTCGGCACGCGCCCAATACTCGCGGCGGAACGGCTCGGGGTCACTGGCTTTGGGTGTACCCTTTGCATCAACTTGACGTAACTTGAAACAAGGAAACACAATGAAAGCCAGGCTTTAGACCTCGAAACATTGCCCACGCCAGGTCTGCGTCTCTTCTTGATTACAACAGCATTCCGCTGCACAGCTGTACATCGCTTTCATACCCGTCTTGCCAGCTGCTAGGCTGCTAAGCATGTTTGTGATTGGCATCATGAATCAGGTAAGCCCGGCTGGTTCTTAAGGTCGAGGCCAAAAGGACATGTCCGAGTGCTGTTGCCTGACATGCTGGCAGGGTAGCATGGTGGAGCGAGATGCGTGACACAAGATCACAAGATTGCTAAGATGTTGCCAAGTCACATTGTGATGTTGCCACGCAGAAGCAACAAAGCCGCTGCGGGGCCTCTCTGGCCATCATGTCACATCATGTCACCATTGATCCCCCCTCCGAAGACGTGAGAGAGAGCACTCTGGGCGGGACACCAAAGGAGATCATCCAAAGGCACATCAGCACTAGGAACAGGCCCGCACCTTGAAGTCCAGTGGCTCAGCTCACGTCGCATGAAACTTTGAGTGTTCAACAATGTTCAAAACTGCTCAAAACTGCAAAGAAAATGCCAGCGAAGACCCCAAACAGTACGGAGGTAAACGATCCAAACCCGCAACCCGCAATACACCCAGCTCACGAGCCGCGCTCCACCCGTCCAAACCCGCAGGCTTACAGCTCCAAAAGCCACACTCCACCCATCCAGCCAAGCGCTCCTCCTCTTCTGAGGAAAGGACCCCAAACATCGTTCAATGATCTTCAATGGCATATACACGGATGCATACGGGTGCTTAATCGCAGCTGCCTTGCCAGATTTTTCTCAGAGTGTTCTGATGCACTGGCACTTCAGGCAGCCTCCATACTTCTCTTCAGCGATGGTCAGAACTTTCCGCGTCAAGGGGTACCTACATGAGCCATAGGTGAGCAACACCACCCATCCACAGCGTTCCACAGCATCAAAAGTCAGTATCAAGAGAGAGGAGCAAGAGGCGGCGCACAGAATCCAAGAGGGCAGCAAAACAAACACAAACCAAGAGGGGCCATTGGGACACCTGCAAGCTTGCCAGACACTTCACGTGTTGCCACCTGATGCCACCTGCTGCAAGTCGACTTGAGTGCAGCACCACTGAAACCACTGCTCCAGGAAGACGGCACATCGAAGCAGATGTGATAGTGGTAGGTCCACTCCGCTTCGATGCAGGAGGTAAGCTGCCCAAAACAAGGCAATCCAAAAGGTTACAACCACCTTTCCAAGCCGGCGAACATAGAAGCATAGCAAGTCATGCCAAGTCTTGAAGACCTTGGATCCGTAAGCCCAGTGGGTTACAAAGCCACTTGTGACCACAAAGAAGCACACCGCCACGTTCACACGAAAGACGGCATTGAACGATCCTTCGGATTTCTTTGGCAGATAATGAGCACAAACGATCCACAGGGCCGCAAGACTTCTGGCCCCTGTCAGATGACTGAACTGTTCTCGATGTTGTGAGTTCTCGGTCGCCTTGACTGGCCTCATCAAGCCCTGTGAGCAGCTAATCCGTTCGCCGCCAGCAGCGCCATCAGCTGCAGGGCACCGAACGTGGCTAGGATTTGACCTGCTGCAAACGGCAGCAGCTCATTCCTAAGTTGCCTTGATTGACAACATATATTGCTCGTGGCGTGACTGCACAATATTGCACAATACTGCACATCGTTAGCCAGCTCATCCAGACGATACCTATTTACTTCTGGCAACGCTTGGCGTGGTGCCAGGATGTACTAGCGCTCACTACGCTCGTTGCAGAGGTTCTGCAACACTCTGAGGCTCTAGTTCAGAGACATTCATCACCCTTAGGGTGTGAAGCTCAGGAGAGTTTACCATGGGCGCGGTGCCACAAAGGATTCATGAGCACAAAATCCCTCCCAAGTTCCGCCAACCGCGTGACTTGCAAAACGAGTACCAGGCGAATTATCTATACATGAGATATCCGGATAACACTCAATGTCTCACACTACGTCGGCCACGAAACCAAGACCTGTTTTCCTGGTCGTCGCAGGCGGCTTTCATTGACAGATTCGGGGCTGAAAGGACGCAACTTTGGCAGCTCATGCTGTTCACTGTGTTCACTCCTTGTTGGCGCCTCCCTTGCCAAAGAAGAGCCACCTGGAGATCACACTTGCATGAGGCTGCTGAAAGTGTCAAAAGATGTTTAAGGCCACAATACGGCGAGCCACAGCTCTCAGAATCTCTCGGAGCCGCCTCAGGAAGGAGACCGGCTTCTGCCGCTTCCGCCGCCGCCGAGGCAGATCCGATGCCTCCTCGAAGCTCTGGAATTCGTTTCCCGATGCCATAGCACTCGGGTCAGTCGCCGGGCTTCGGTTGCTCCGGTTGCTCCGTGCATCGCTACGAAGGCTGCGGTTGCTGTGGGAGCTGTGGAAGCTCGGGCGCCGTGGAATCGGCAAAGTCAGGGACTCCAGCTGCCTGCGTGAGGCTAGCCATACTTACAAAGAAGTTTGGAGGATAACTTCGAAGTCAGAAATCACAAATCCGGCAAATCCTATGACTGACTCTCTGCAAGTTTTGCGGCTCTCCCGCCGCCAGCCTGGAGGCCCCAGCCTACAGCAAGTGCTGGCATGTACCATCTTGAATCATTTTTGAAACATCCTCCGCTTAGGCCCGAGCGAGCACAGACTCCACACCTAGACACATCGCATGATTTCCAAGTTCAAAGTGCCGACGCTCCGATCTTCAGGCTGCTTCCAGGTGCCCCCACCCGCGGGCGTCTCCGATTGAATTTCCTCTCCGTCCTGGAGACTTCCAACACACGTCTGCCAATGTCTGCCACATTTGCCATATCCATCCATACATTCCCGTGCTCCTGCTGCTTCTCTTGTACTCCGAGTGTCTGTGAGCGAGCTGCCTGCTCGTGATCCTCGCCTCCCCCATGACATGATAAATATCTCAACTGCAACTGCAAGCAACGGGCTCCTTCCAACACTTGCAGAGACAATAGGAGACAATAGGAGAGACAATGAACGCGATTGGACGAGGACATGGGCGGAGGCGGTCAAGAAGCTTCGCAAGATTAAACCACCGCACGGTTGGGACACCGAAGAAGGGGAGGATGCAGGCATGGAACGGCCCGCAGGGCCGGGGAGGTGAGGCCCTGTACGGGGCAATGCGGAACGCGCACGAACGAGCAGAGGGGCCCCCGCCTTGCGCGGAGCTTGCGCCGATCTTGCGTGATTTCGGCGTTTGTTTCGTGACCTTTGCGAGCTCAATGTCTTGGAACCATATAGAATGAGCAAAAGCCTGTTGTGGTGGCAGCGTGCTGCAGTGACGTTGTGTCGTTCAGGAGTTTGGGGAAATGGAGAAAGGAAGGAGGGAAGAAGTTGGCCTTCTGTGCGTGATGGGCTGAGGCCAACGTCATGAACTGCTTGAATGGATAGCATGCTGGCCGGGGCGCTCAGCTAAGTGTTGGCGGCAAAATTGTGGCGGAGTTAACTACCCTCCACAAGTCTAAGAGAGTCTTAGTGCAAGACGGACAACAGGTGATATATTAGCAGGTGTGTGACATTGGAATCGCGCAAAAGGAGGTGACCTTCAGCCTTCATATGCCAATGCTTCTTTTTGACATTCCACGTAGGGCAGTGCAGCTTGTTTGCACGTTTTGCTGGAAACACCTCCAGCACTGCGCTCGGCCAGCTACTGTATTTTGTCCTATAGCCGTCAAGGGTAGTAACCTTTGACTTTTGTATGCTGCACGTAGAACTTGAGGAAGCAGAGACACGCTGGTAATCGGGTTGGCTATAAACTCACTATCCAGAATAGCTCCAACACAGGCAGTGACTGCCAGCAACTGTCAGCCTATGCAACTGCGCCTGAATCCTTAGACGCCTTCGAGGGAGGCTTGTCTGCTGCGTCGATCTCAGCGAATAACCCAGACAATGCACAAGGCCGTGGCGCGAAAGACGAAAACCACACGCATGATCTGAGAAGCACTCCACAGCATTCAGTCGGGCTTGAAGCTCTCGGGCCAGTTCTACTCGCAACTGCGCCAGGTCAAACGGGGACATGCACAGAGCTCAAAAAAGTCAAGCGTAAGAAGAGCTCTAAAAATGCTCTAACAGATAAGAGCAAAAAGGCTTTTCATCGGAAATTTGTGCTTCAGCATGCTTCGGTGGATGTTGTTTCGGAAAGCTTTCGGCTAGCTTTGGAAGTGTTTCGGGCTAGGCTAGCTCGGCCTTTACCACGGCCATGTCAGGACTGGCATCCTGTGGATCCTGTCCTGTGAGTGCCCTTGACTTTTCCTTGCGATGCTTTACATATAACATGTATGTATGTATGTTTGTATGTATGTCTGTCTGTCTTTGCTTGGCACCTCTTTTTTCTGCTATACCGACGCTTGTGGCATATCCTGTCTCTTTCTTACAGCAAGGATTCGCGGACACAACTGAGCACGTCATGATGGGAGCTCTGCTGACTTGTTCATCTGCGATTCAAGTTTTCCAACTGTGGATCGCTACAAGTGGGAAAACGAACATACTCTGTGGTGTCACTGTACCACATAATCAACAAAAAGGGGCTTTCTCTAACAAGAGCAAATCGTAAAAGGACAGACACATGGTCTGAACCGAACCATGTTACACCGCAGCAAGCTGGTTGCAAGCGAAAGAGGCTAGGTGACGCTTCAACCACTGCTGGCTCTAGCTCTACTCAGCTTCTGTTCTGCAACTCAAATGTAACTGAAACCGAAGCATGGTCAGAAGAACTGCCAAGCGACAGCTACTTCAAGTCCATCAATCTGACGGCTTTGATGCGCTGTGTTCGGTCTTATGTTGGGACTGTACATTCACAGCAATCTAGGAGGTGTGCCCAAGAGTTAGACAAACGAGTTGGCTCCTCTCACTTCGATTTCCGAATTGGGGCATGGCGTCTAAAAAAGGGAGGTCTGTGAAAAACATGACAAAACAATAGTTCTCAAAAGGTTCCGCAATTGTCGGGGCTCAAAGCACCACGAGCCGCTAGGCCCTTTAAGCTTTAGGCCCGTTAGGCCTTTTGGGGCCTTTAGGGCCAAGCAAATCCATAGAACCTGAAAGAGCGTATGCTGGGTTTCTGCCCACCGGAAAATTTTGTCCGGTCTCCGCTTCGCGGGATGCACACGGCATGTGAGATTCGGGCGTCGACCGGATAGCGCTGTGCGAATTTGTTGATCAACATGACTCGACTCAAGGACTTGTCGGTCACTTCAAACTGCTGTTTTTTTCGTCGTAGTGGTAAATTGAATTTAAAGGATGTCAGAACCGTGGCGCCAACATGATATGCAGAATCGTGAGACGCACGGGACAAGAAGCCCGGTTCCAACTTCCACATCCATTCAACACCAATACCACACCCATTCTACCTTGTCCGGCCTCTTTCAGAAGAACCTTGGGAATGCTCTTGGCCTCACAGTTGACAGCGTCTGAATGGAACCATCCCCAACCATGCACCACATACGCAACTGGCCTCATGCACTCCACGAACCTGATCACGGAACCAACTGACTCAAATGATTCAACTCAAATGACTCAAATGACTCAAATGACTCACATGACCGCGACACTCTCGAAAAGAAAAACTGTCTAAGCAGGAGACATAAGCCACACAGCAGTCAGGACTTGCTGCGACTGCCTCGATGCAACCGAACTCTGCCACAGCACACCAGCTGACAGGTTTGGGTGCTTTGGGTCTTGGCTTGGGCCCTGGCTGAGAAAGGCTCAGGAGCACCCCAGATGGGGAAAAAGCTCAGTGAGCAGAACCTCGTTGCATCCGAAACGCTACTACTGTACTTTGTCGCCTAACCTGTGGAGGCTCTCTTGGCATGGGGCATGTCCCCGGTCTTGAGGACTACGAAAGTGTCCTTTCTGCCCGAACGATAGAGAGGAACAAAGCAAGAAGGAACGAAAAGAGACTGAAAGAATTTGAGAAAGAAAGTACGAGAAGAGGAGGCTTCGACCCTCCCCTGCCGAGGCCTGGTTTCCAGGCTGCGTCCTTCGGCCAGAAGCAACGGTGAGTTCTGGGAAAAGGTTTGCTTTATAAGAGTCTGCAAGAGTCTTCAAGAGAGAAAAACGAAAAAACGAACAACTGTGATTTTCTCGTTGCAACCATTCTCATGCTTTGGGAAGCTCAGATAATGTTGGGAGAAGACCCTGCCTCTCTTTGTGTTTTCTTGCTTGTTACTTCCCTCCAGTACAGTACATTAACTCATTAACATTCGCTACATGTTTCTGGAGGTTTCAAGGCCGAACGAAGCCCACGAGTTGCGTGCGCCTTTGCCAACAGGCCCCATGCAAGAAGGATCAAGAAGGGCCCTGCCATGCCCTGCCGAAAAAGGATCGGGCAACTTCATGCTGAAAGCAGATTACGGGTTGTGGGGCTCATCTTGGAGCTGAAGCCAACATTTTCGCGACCTCGCCAAGGAATGTCGCGGTTGTTGATTCGGTGTTGAAGTTTCACCAAAGGGCTTAGTTTTGGCCACGACCCGAAATACCAAGACATGAGGGTCGAATGATATATGGTGCAGCCCATGTTTTTGGCTGGATTTCCATCCCCGCCACCTTTCCTGTGCGGTTACGTGGAACATGTTGTGCCCCAACCCCCATAGGATGCCACCCTTCCTCTTCAGCCCATGCTTTTGGTTAGATTTCAATCCCCGCGCCAACCCCCCCCCCGTGTTGTGGAACACCCCTCTTCACACCATGTTTTTGCTTAGATTTCAATCGAAGCGACAGGCAACCATCTAACACCATGACAGGGGGGCAAGGGGGGGAGGCGCGGAGATTGAAATCTAACCAAAACATGGGCTGAAGAGGAAGGTCAAGGGGGAGCGGGCAGAGGAGAGCGGGCATGTTCCACACCAAGAACATGGGCTTGAAGGGGGGATACGCGGGAGGGTTAGTCATGGCCGCGTGGGGTGTCCGATCCTGGCTCTCACTTCGCTCCTGCATGGTGGCTCCCAGTTGGCTCCCTTCATGGCGTCGTCTCTCCGTGTGGCTTAAATGGGCTGCGGCGCTCACGTGGCTCCCTTCATTGCTCCCTTTCCACGTGATTTTGATGGGTGATCTGGATGGGTCGCCGGATTCTGGTTCCCACTTCGCAGAAAAGGATCGGGACAGCGCTCAGGTACATTTTTTAAGCCAAACGTTGCAAAACCGCCATGACCAACAAACTGTGCCCACAGACCAGGTCTCGGGAAAGTTGCGTTTCTGTGCCGTATCCTTAGACTATTTCAACGCACGAACCAGTTTAGCGTTTCTTGCACGAACCAGTACGACGTCCATGCAAACAACAAGAACTTGTGCCACCTATACATCTTACATATTTGTTAGTTTGAAGCGACCTAAGTCTACAGGCAAATGGCTTTTTCGACAAAATCCACGGGAAATGTGCGTTTAGCTATCTGGGAGCCCCGAAAAAGGAAATCAGCAGCATGGCAACCCCTCGGGGCAAAGACGAAAACATATATGTTAGGAGTGCCTCGCACATGACGGTCTGTGCGTGCATGTTTCTGATAGCTGTGCAACCATGTCAACACCTTCTCATCATCCTTCATGTAAACCTTGGATCTGTTTGGGGTCTACGCAGTTACAATCTTAGAATCTTAGTCTTATGAGGAACATGAAAAATGATTCTGTGTCGCATTTTGGCACGCGTTAGCCTTCTATGGTATCCAGTATTGCCCTGGAGTACAAAAGTCTTCGGCCAGCTGGTTGGAGTACTCATGCTCTTACTTCCCTTAACCCGGAACTGTGCCTCAAAACCTGTCTTGATTTTCGGCTCAGACATGCAAGTTGAAGCGGTGAAGCCCTCAAAGCTTGAATAGCAAGCTGCTCCAATATGAAACGCCTAAGCTCATTTTTGTATGAGAGAGAGACAGATAGTTAAAACCTAAAAACAAAGTCAAAACAAAGTCAATCAGTCACATTGCATAAAGGTCCATGGCTCATGTATATAGAAGAAAAGAGAGACACACACACACACACAGATTCACGTATAGCATGAAAACTGTGGGTTTAGGCTGAGTTGTTCGAGCTTCTTCTTGCATGCTTTAAGCAGCTCCTGAGCATAGGATCGGTGAACATCTCGGCTGAGGCCGGCCGACTGTAGGGACCTCGTCTCACCAGGACACATCCTTGCAAGGGCCAAGAAATCCTCAGCCAAGATGCCACACAGCAGGTCGGGCGAGAGCCACTTCCTGACACACGTCACACGGATGTCACACGAAATTTAATTCAGATATCACAGGGATGCTACTTTATATTACTTTATGGTGAAGGGCCAGTGAAGGGCCTCCCGGGCCGCTCACTCCAGGTGTCTTCGCCAAGGTGCTCGGGCGAGCCCGGCCTGGAGAAACGGAGAAGGTACTTCAACGGTGAAGAGACTTCACTGCTTTGGAGAATATCGGCCCCTTTTTAGGGGTCCTAGGGGGTCCTAGCGCTCTACTCGCGCCTGGCAGACGACAGCGTGCTCACCTGAGCAGGTTGATAGCCTTTGAGGTGGTCACCCTGAGGACTCTGCAAGGCCAGGGCATACTCCAAAAGAACCTTGACATCATGTCTGATCACATCTGACTGCTATTGCCAGAAGAGCAGCTTCTCAGCATCTCAGCCCGAAGCTCGAATCTGTTCAATTTCTACTTCGTTTCGAGCAATTTCCTGCTCTTCAGGAGCCACCTGGCACAGAACATGAGGCCGAACATGAGGCAAGCTGGGCAAGTCACGCCAGGCAGGTGAGTGGTGAGAACACGTCACCTCACCTCAAAAATGTGAAAACACTGAGAAAACTATGTTTCCATTCTGCTTCAGTAGCCTGACGCAAAGGCCGGGCTTCTCGGAGCTCTTCATCCCTGACAATCTGATGAGCCGACTGCTTGAAGAGTTTTGAGCTGCCAGCGCCTTTTCAGAGCACGTTCCTTCTTCCTGAAGGCAGTCGTCTCCATGCGGTCTTTCAGCAAAGCCTCGTCTGAACATGACCAAGGAGCTCACAGAATCTTCGAACTCTACCAACACTAACTAAACATTCTCGTCTTGCCGGTGCCTTGTGATGACGAACTTTGGCTTCTTCAGGCGAAAGTTTCTTTTCCCGCGGCGGGAGGAAGTGGGACGGGTCTGTCGTGAAGTGCCAAGACTTGACACACTGGAGACTGCTTGGCAATGTTCTTGGTGTCGGAAAGGGTGCCTGCCATGTACTCGTCTTCAAGCCGCTGCCGCATGGTGCCCTTCAACGCAGGCGGCAAGCCGATTCTCGGCCTAACGTGCTCAACTCAACCATCAGTGCAACTGTGACCCCCACGCCCAACTCACAGTATCTCAGGGGTCGACAGACCTTCCTCATCAAGCTTTGGTGTGAAAGTCCTGTCTGTTTTAGTACACAACTTGCAATTCACAAGCCGAAACAAAAGTACAAACCGACGAACATCGTCGACCTGGCGAAGTCCGGCAGCAGCAAGCACGTCACATCCTCAAGCCGAAAGTGACACTGCAAACCATGGCAAGTGTCGCTTATTGTCGCTTGCACAGCACATCAGGAAGCTGGGCAGCTCCTGCGTGGTCACCTTTTGAGGTTTGCCTCACGGCTATTTGCTCTGAGCTAAAACCGCTTACGTGACTTAGCAATCCCATGCCTGTAAGGGGCCGTGTTGACAGGACATAAGCCGGATTCGCACTGGACATCCTTGGCCGGGCGCTACCACGCAGATGCACGCTGAAACAGTTGGGAGTTGGGAGAGGCCAAGCTGTTTTCGAAATCAACAAACAAGAAGCCCTTTCCTGCAGGAAGAAGCACCTGCCAGCATCCTATTCCTGGCATTTGGTTCACCCTGAGCCGCCCTGCAAAGTGCAAAGTGGTGGCGTGGCGCCAGGCCGCCACGGATTATGTGCGGGCTTTGTGTGGTCGTGCATTTTCTGCAGTGAGGCCGAGGGTCTTGTTGCCAGTGTCATCCAAGAGAAGCTTCTATCAAGGCTCCTGTCTAGGACATCCCAGGCTGGCTACGTAGTCACATGCACATCGGTGCACTTTAGCAATCTGTTGGTCACACCCCAGTCTAGGGCTTAAGGCTTTCGTTTCGGGGCACCAAGGGTTTGCAGGGCCACGGCAGCTCGGGTACACCCCGAATAGAGGGAGTGTGAAGGTTGGAGAGGGGTTAGCTGCAAGCTGCAAGCTGCAAGACGAACCACAAAAGGGAACACTCTCGCCACATTCAAGAGGTAGCGGGACATAGCGGGACACATGATGACTGAGCATGACGAGGTTGTGGATGATCAAGGAAACCCAAGAAAGAAAGCAAGACTCTTTCATATTGTTTCCTGATTTGTTCCTGAACTGTCAAAGCACAATATGGTCAATAAGTCTTGGCTACAGACTGATCTTCACCTATCATCATTGTCATCATTGAATCATCCAACCAAAGCACTCTTGGCTCACTCGGCCAAAAATGGAGGGGGGCGAATAGGACATTCTAATAGCAGCTGGAACAACACAAGCATCGACAGCAGGGGCATTGAAAACAAATCGGCAGTATCAACAGCAACCACAACCGGGAACATTGTGACAACGATAACTGACGACAACGGCAAGGACATGCAAGGACATGCAAGGACATGCAAGGACTTGCAAAGACGAGCAAAGGCAGCGAGACAATGATATGACGATCTTTGACACATGATGGTGATGCAGAGGGCGGAGCTCAGCCTCACACCGGTACCGTCGCAGCTCGACATGGCCACGCTGCACCATGAAAACAGCAGGCTCAAGCCTTTGCACACAAAACTTGGAGAAACCAAGATATGCGAAAGCGCGCGAAAAAACGTGCTCTCAATAGTGTGCTACATGCTGGATCACGTTCATGATCTTCGGCAGCATGTCGCGTCAACCCAGGCTCTCGCGACACCATGCCTTCTTCCAGTAGACATTCCCTGGGCACGCATCTGTTGAATGCAATTGTGTCCACTGCAGAAGTTTGCACAAAGTTTGCACGCTAATGTAAGAGCCGGACCCCTCTGGTATCACTTCCTGGGTTGAAACACTAAAGTCTGCAAAAGCCATTGGCAAGTGAGCCATGTGAGCCACAGGATACAATGGGCCAGATACTGATGTCAGATGCAAGCACTAATTACGGTCGAGAATTTAATGCACAGCCGACACAAGTAATTGCAGGAAAGTCTCTCGCTTGAAGAAATCATTCGGATGTGGCCTGTGTGATGAACATGATTGAATCTCGAAATCAGGGTCATCCAACAACCCTTAGGGGGAGTTTTGTTTGCACGTCTGTGTGCTTCCAGGCTGCAGCTTTAAAGAGTGCTCCCGACAAGGATACTCACATCAAATATGTTTCCCCAACACTTCTTCCCTCACGTCACTAGGCCCTCTCAACGCAGATTGCAACACAAATATGGCAATTTAGTTCAGTGTAGCTATCGACTGGCGACTGGTTCCTGCAGATTGAACTGAGGAGTACTTTAGAAGACTGCAAGCTAGCGGGAACACACCACCCTATGCGGTCCAATTCGACGCTGCCACTGGCTGCTTCCGCTATATGTCATTTCTTTTGGGCTGGCGGTTCTGCTCCATTCATGAAGGGTTGGCACGGCACCTTCAATTCCTGAGCCCACTTTCGCCGATCGCTGAAGAAATGCCCGGACGAGATCCCGATGCTGGTTCGGCACTCCCAGCGGCACTTGCTCAAGCTTTGCCTAATCCGATGACGGCAAGGGTTGAATGGTTTCATGTCCTGTGGGAGTTTTGAGTCTGCCAGACACTGCCTCAGCTTGACTAAACGCAATTGAGGCCGAGTAGCCTGATGTTTCTGTTTTTGTTCAGGCCCGGCATGTAGAGGTCAAAGAACCGCTGATTCTCACGCATCCTTCAAAGGGCTGCGAATTGAAAACTCTACAGGCTCAAAAGATGGACCGAGCTCAGCGCGTTTTGAGCGTTTTCTTGAATATGGAAACATTGATCCTAAGTGGTGAGCTTGCCCGTGGAATCTGATAAACACAGGCCTACGGTTCCACATCGGGCACAAAGGCATGAGCTTCGGGCGCTAAGAAGTCACAGTCCTTAATGCACCTGCAACGGCCAGGACTAAGCCATTGAAACGACATGTGTGACATGTCACGAGGAATATTGTATCTGCAACAAAATTTCACAAGGCGCTTAGCAACTCGAGTACAAACCCAATCAGGAAAAACCTCTGGAGTTCGAAGTCCGACAAAGCCCGAGCAATTGGCGTCTGGCTCAGGCGTTTGGGGAAAAAGAACAACCCGCCCTCTTTCTCCCCCTCCTTGGCAACCCGATGCCAAGGTTCGTGTTGTTCGATGCCCAATGGTTTTAATCTTGAGGGCACCTCCGGCCTATGGAATCCTGTAGACCTTGCTGGACACCCCATGGACCCAACACTTCACGAACGACGTGCGGTTCAGAAACTGGACGCGCGCGATGCACAAATTGAATTGGACGTGATTCGAGAAGCCTGGATTCAGGAAACTCCGATGATTCAGGAAACACTAGGAGATGCAGGAAACTACCCAAGTCAGGAAACCGGCTTCACGCAATTCAGGGAGCCACACGATTCAGGAAAACAACGTCAGAAAACCACGTGCTTCAGGAAACAACACCCAAGAAGTCACGCGATTCAGTAAACCATGCGATTCGGGAAACGGGCTTCACCGCAAACACCGGGGTGGCGGGAAGGGGGTGGGGGGGTGAGAGGGCATAAACGTTCATGTCACAAAACTTTACGATTCAAAGTCCGAATCAGCGCTTTCCCGAATCCGCGGGTTCGAGTATGCCGAACCCGTCGCTTCCAGTTTCCTGAATCTGCGGTTTCCGATTCCGCGTTTTCCAGATTCCCCCAAGCACGTCTCCAGATGTCTCCAGCTTTCGAAGCAGCAGTTTCTACTCTCTCGATGCGTTTTCCAGTTTCCGGAAGCATGTTTTTTCCAGGCGAATCAGCGTGTTGTCACTTTCCGAAATTGTTACTGAACGCCCTTAACTAGCACGTCCGATGGACCGCTATGTTATTCTGTGAACCCCTCCTGTGCACCTGTCTATGAGCTGCTGATAGACTTTATTGGACCCATGGACCCCTTTGGACCCTCTCTATGGCCGGTTCAAGCTACTCGATAGCAAAGGCCGCAACGGCGATCGGCCCCCTTCACAGGGGAGACACACACACACACACACACACACACACACACACACACACACACACACACACACACACACACACACACACACACACACACACACACACACACACACACACACACACACACACGCACATCTACTCCAGCATGGGGTTGTGCAGCTACGCAAGTCGACGATCAATCATCCGAGTTGCTGGAAATCCACACACAAACGAAAAACACACACCATCGGTTTTCGTGCTCAAGGCAAACGGCGACTCATCGGACAGCGGCAGCTTTTCCAGAGCCACCAACGTGGCCTCGCCGTACCTGCTGACTACCATATCCCGGTGCCGCGCTCATGTCATCCTTTGTCGTCTTCCTTGCTGGGCTCTAGCAGAACGGCGCCGCAACACCTTTTCTGGACCCGCTGGGGAAAGTCGTGGGGGCAGCCACAAGGAAGCCCCACATTCTTTTGGGGGACCCCATGAGGAATCCTGCTTTCACACTTCTGAGCCTGAGGCCTTGGGACCCGAACACGAGGGGCGAAGGCCACAGACAAAGGGAGACAAATGGAGACCAGGAAACCCTAAACCCTCAACCCTCAACCAAGGGCCACAGTCTGAAGGGAGGCAAAGCATTGGAACCAGGACCTAAGGCCACCGGCGTGAAAGAACACAAAGCGCCTACACCGGACCCTGCAGCGAAGCCCAAGCGGCATGCGCTCCCATCAAGATGAAACCAGTTGCTGCTGTACGCCGTTTCGATCCGTTTAGCGATCATCGACCGTCACCGACAGTGACCGACAGTCACCCCATTCAATCCATGCACTCAAACCAAGTGGAATCAACCGAGATCCAGACCTTGCACTGTGCTGCCACAGCTCTTTCCCAACTAGTGCAGACTCGCCAATCAGTGTCCCAAGGGCATCTGGCGATTGGTTTGCAAATTTAGACAATGATGATGCAAGCTGCGAACACTCTCTCTCAAGCTCTGACAAGAAGTGCTAATCATGCCGCGTTGTCGGCTCGTGTCGTACAGCTCCCCGAAAGAGGAATCCTGCCACGAACTTTCTGAATACCACTCATGAATGACTTTGCGACGAACCGTGTCCAAGCACTTTTTTGCTGCCAGCTCAGAATTTATGCGAGTCTGACCCGTGTCGCTCCCTGCGCGAAGGCCCCCAAGGCGTTTGCTCGTTCTTTCTTCAAGCGACGCTCTTCTCACTGGGAGCATCAAGTTCTTCAAGCGTGAACGCCTTTGTGCAAAGCAAAAAGTACCACGGTGGACTGTTGACTCTCATGGGGCTGGCCTGAGGTACTATGGTCCGCCCACAACCCTGTAAAATCGCTTTCCAGATTTTGCGGGGATGCGTTACAAAGTAAAGTGTGGCGAGTACAGCAGCCGAGCGTCTTCTCGCGGCGTCACGTGAAAAGTAATCAAAGCTGCGGCCAGTGACAGGACACCTCAAGCTCTGAAACTCTGAGAAGAACAGTCAGCACATCGCACACTCTCTCTCATGCGCGGCGACTTCCCCTTGCGTGGGCAACAGCTGTTGCAGTCACGAAGCCAGACGCAGAATACACAAATTCCATGCCTTGGGCTCAAAGCACGCAAGGCATCGTCGCTGTCATGGTCGGAAGTGTGAAAACCACTCAAACCGAGTTGCCATAGGAACGTTGCAATAGTGGAAATACCGCAGTTCCGATGAAAGCACCTACTTTGCCGCTGGCTGCGGACATGCCGTGGCAGCTTGCCCGGACCTCAACTGTGAAGGAATCCAGCTGACATGGTTGGTCAAGACACAGGCAAGACTTGCAGAGCTGTCGACGCAAGTTGGAAAGATCTCTGCCGGGATGATGTATGTAGTCAGATTGGGTCCAGCATTCAAGAAAAGAAACCTCAAAGCGCACGTGCCAAACTGGAAAGCTAACATGACCTAACATGCATAAGTGCAAATGATGTCGTGTCTGAGTTGCATAAATCCCAGAGCACCCACGTGCAATAGGACCGGCGGATTTCCACTGAGCGACAGCAAGCCAGCGACCTGGGTTACACGCTTGGGTTCCAGAAGGCTCAAAAGATCTCCGAAAAGATAAGCATTGCTAGCTACAACACTGTCGCTCACCGCTGTTCCGACTGGATGCCACAAAGAAGACAGCTGCAATCGCCAGGAATCCGTAGAGTTGCATCGCGTAACCTTGGTCATGTTGAAAAAGATAGGGCAAGGTGACAAGACAAGGGACTTGTCGAGACAAGTGCTGTCTCCTCACTGTAATAGAAGCTTGGAAGCGGCTTGCGGCACTTATGAGGCAAAAGCCTGCTCCAAAGCCAGCAATGGCAAAGCAGCTCCTGAGCGAACCCGTTCCAAACACATCTACACTCACGTGCACCATGACTCGCTGCCCAGTTGCGTAAGCGCCGCGAACTTGGCATGCTGAAACACCTACGCGCTGTCATGTACGTCTATGTCGCAACAGATTCGCCCATTTATTTCCCTTGCACACGCAGAAGGGCCAAAAGGCAGGGCCTACCTACAAAGCCCGAGGGAAGCCGAGAGAAGGACCACAGACGGGGAGATGAAGAAGCCAGGCGGGAGGAAGTCAAATGATCTGGGAAGTATTCGAAGGCTTCGCACGCATATATGCTCAAGCATGCTTGAGCTGGCAAGGAAGGCCTGAAAATACCATCAAGCAGCTGACACCAGGTATCAAGAATGGGACAACTCGAAGCTTGGAAAAGTCGAAGCTAGGACTGCCAAGGTCTGGATTCGATGAATTCGCCTCGGCTTCCTGCCGAGAAGCGTCTGGAACAAGCAGACCCGGATCGGGCCTCCTTCCCCCTAACCCAACCCTTCCCCCCGTGCCAAATTTTTTGACGCAACCCCCCCCCCCCCCCCGCCCTGGGGGACCCCCCCCAATCCCCTGGAGGAGCTGCAAACCGATGCCTTGAGTGGAGGTCCCGCTTGGCAGGGGGAGGGCCTCAAAAACCCCCCCACCCCCCACCCCAACCCCACCCCCCCCCCACACCCCCACCCCACCCCCCCCCCCCCCCCCACCCCCCCAACCCCCCCCCACCCCCCCGACCCCCCCCCCCACTTTTTTTGCGAAACCCTCTTTCCTCCTTTCCTGTCCTGGGGCCGGCCCGGCTGCCGAGGCGGCGCGCGCAAGCGTTTACAATTAACATGGATTGCGGCCTCGAGCTCCTACGACGTACGCGCCATGGACAAATGCACGGACCCGTTTGCTGGTTTCACAGAGATGAGATGCGAGAGATCATGTGGGAGCCATGCAGGAGCCCTACAACACTTAACATGTTTACCTAGTTTGACTTCCTTTGACCCAACATCAGATGTGCCTCCGCAGCTGGTGCAAGACTGCTTGTATGGATCACTGCATTGAAGATTGTGCTCTTGAAGGACCCGAGGCTGTAGGCAAACCTGAGCAGGGGCGGATGCCGAGTTTATGCCAGTAGTTGGGGTATCAAGATGTGTCCAAAGCAGAGTTGAGCTCTGTCGGGAGTTGGGACGGGGTTGCAAAGTTGGGGACGAAGTCAACACCAGTCAAGACTCGAACCCTCGACAAACAGCACGCGAAACAAAAAACACAACTCGGCACATCATTGCTCTTCTGCCAACGTCCCCAATTGTACATCAACGCCCCTACAGCTCATGAGTTTCAGAACCTGCAAATCTGTACGAGCGTTGTTCACAATGCATGCCTGCTGGTGAAAAGTCGACAGCTTTGCAGAATCTTAAGCTGCAGGGCTTTCTGTGGCCTGAATAGAAACATGAGTCAGACAGAGACAAGGACGCAGGCGCGCGAGTTTCCCACAGCGCCCTGACAAGCAGTTCCCACATAGCAGCTTGCTGAAACTACGCTGCCAGCCGTGCATCTCATGCTTTGCAACACTGAACATGCGGACATCCCAATACATGCGTGGTGCGCGGGAAAGTTGTTCTGCATCTTCTCAAGACCGATTTCTTCTCTGACACGGGGTCCTGTGGTGTGTCTCAATCTGATCGAGTATGCAAAGGGTTCTCGGATGCTGCCTGTGATGCGTGTGATACTTTGATAACATCAGAGCAATGCAGCCATGGGTCCGATGTTTCTTCTGAAGAAACCGAGCGAGCAGAGTTAGTATAGGGTTGACGTAGATAGAGTTGACCTGTCTCAGTTTCAGATTGGATTATGGCTTGGGTTAGTTGTATCGAACTGGTGTCAAGACTATATTGCACGGTGAACATTTCACGGTAGCCTCCAAGATAAGTATGGGAGTAGGATGAAACGCTAGGCAGCGTGCTGCTGATTCCTTCAGCTTTACAGTCGAAAGGAGGAACAAGGCGCATCGTGAAAGTTCTAAAAGTCAAAGGATCCTGTTCGAAGGTTTTTCACTCGTACCTCTGTTTGTGTGTAGTTGACGCCTTTCCTAGAAAAAACTGAGCTGAAATGCTTCGCATTCCACTCACGTTGGTTTCGTTATGTTGTGTGAAAAATTTTAGTTCCTGACTGTTGATGTTGGATGGAAGATCCAGTATTAACATCTTCAACCGTTCTGTCTTGCCCATTCGGCCTGACTTCACGCGTCGTTTGACATGCTTTATTGTTGTAACATCAACATGTCATGCAAATATCCTTCGGATATTAACCTGAGGATGCTTCTAGTTTTTTCAAAACCAAGTCTGAGCGAGTTTGGATTGGGATGGGCATCAACTTGAAGAATATTTCGCTATCTCAACTTAACTTGGCCTTTGGCCGAGTTAAGGCTGAGTAGGAATAATACTGAGCAAGGAGAGGATTGCCATGTTCAAGATTCACTGGCCTACATTTCACTCACTGGTGTTCGAGGTGAACAAGCCTTCGGCCAGTTCATCCTCGAGCTCAGTATTTTTTCCACGACGGCCTAAGAGAGACACTAAATCTAGCATAGCGAGTACTACGAAAGCCGACAGTACTTTCAGGATCAATACATGTGGGCCAGTTATCATCAAGCCAGAAACTGAGAAAGACCACCGTGAAATCCAAAGTTACGATTAAAAGCACCCAAAACAGTTCATCGTGGCTTCTCGCTGGTAGTGCCTACCAACACTACCATCGTAGAGCTTGACAATGGAAACACTGCAGATGATTAGAACTCTCCACACCTCTAGCCAGCTAGCAAGCACGGGGAAGTATACCGCCTGCAAGCAAGCAGGTCGTTGATGTTTGTCAATCTATCTTAAAGCTACTTATAAATCGAAATATTTACTTGGACCACAAGCGACTCTAATTAATTCTTGTAGCTGTCAGATGTTTAAACTGCATGCAGATACATGCAGATAGAAATGAAATAGCTACCAGCTACTCACTAAGAAAATATCTATTTGCCACGTTTGAAATAATACTATTTGTCGGCCGGGGCAGATTTTATGATAAGCTCTGGGTAGATTGGCGTAGATGCTCGGGCAGATGCTCTGGGCAGCTGATCTGGGTAGACGTTCGGGCTTGCTTTGACGCTTGTATTCTAGAATTCTGGCTGAGGTTTTAACTGGACGTGTTAAGAGTGATGTTCTGGTGAACATGCCCTGACGCATCTAAACAAAAGCTTTAACACATGCTAACATTAAGACATGTTAACATGTGTTAGGATGGGAGGAATTGCACTTCCCAGAAGAATTGTTGCCCGCTTTACCTTGCCAAAGCTCAGGACCGGGGCGAAGAACTGGGTGAATATATACATATACAGTGTAAGGGTGTAAGTTGCAATAGGTCCAGTAGTATCCCTACCAACGGGTCAATAGAGTGGCCAAACTCTACCAACAAGAACCACCCACAGCTCGCGATCACTGTGAGGATAACTTCAGGGTGCTACCCTGAAGGGGTGAGTGCACTATATGAAGGATATCTGCCGGTTTCCCGTTCGTACAGTCTATCCCCTCTATACACACTCTCACTCCAGCTCTATCCGCCGTGATCCCGGTTTCCCAGTTTGTAACCTCCAGCGAAGTCAAGCTGTATGTGCGATCTCGGGTAAAGGATCTGTACACGCAGTTGGGCTGCTACAAAAGGATATTTTCCTGTGCTCAAAGAGCTCTTTGAGCCGTGCGCACTGCGGATATTCGCACAATGCCGCTCAGAACTCTATAATTCCATTCATCTGTCAATAACTTTATTTCCCTTCTCCACGGGTCAAGCCCCAAAACAAACCTCACCTACCAAGTCATCAAGCCCACTGCTAACTTGTTTGACGCGCGAAACAACATGTAAACATGTACTTTCTAAGTGAACATCAGGTAGCAGCACCAAACACTTGAAACAGCATGAAACGCTTCGTGAAAACAAGCCAATTTAACTTGTCGCTATGGTTTTTCAAGGTCCGGGAGTGGATAGGCGCCAGAATTTAAACTAAAGAAGACATTGATCCACTCACCGTTCTTCAGTTTTTCGTGTTGTACCACTCTCCTACCGTGTTTTGGCTGCTCACTACAGCGCTACCAATCAAGCATTGCTAGCTACCAGGAACTTGAACACGAGAAATCTCTCTTTGAATAGACACGAGCTACAAACAATTCTCTTTAAGTAGACACGACTTACACCTCATTGAGCTATAGAAGGATTTGCACCGATTGTGGAACCGCAGCTGCTGCCATTGAAATAACGACTATTTATCTGATTGCTTACTTGCCTGAAGCTGTACAAGAGTGAGGGAAACCATAGGATTTCCTCGTCCAATACCACACGCCAAGGACGAGCTATCTGAATCCAAGTGACAATTACAGATAATACGGGCACACCAGCCACTACAACCAGTCCTTAGAACATAAGGTATCTAGCAAAAAATAAATTAACAACACTCATCTCCTCAAAAATGCGAGATGACACTACTTGCATTCCACTAGCGAGAATCCCAGACTGTCTAGGAGCAGCAAAGCGGGCTAACAAATAAGATCTCGTCAGAGGATGAGAAAGGGCGGCAGTCCCTAAGACCCCTAACGAAGAACATTGGCGTGACAGTGTGGCACGTTTGCTTGGGCGCCACAAAATTCACGAGTGAGGCAACCTCAAAAGATGGATTCATTTGCAACCTCCAGAACGAGCGCACACAGCAAAAATGGCTGTAACAAGGTGGCGCTTCTTTCCAATACAAACGACATCTTATCTATTCTTGTGGCTCCAGCGCATGCCCCTGACAAGCAGAACATGGCAACACTACCCACTACAATGTCACTACAAAGTGGCGCATTTTTTGGCGCAAACATTGCCATCTAGCAATGACAGACACCCAGCCGCACAAATCCCATAACAAAACGGCGGCGCTGTTGCATTACCTCTCCAATCAGCACACAAATCCCGTAAAATGGCGTTGTCTTCGACACGTTCAACATGCAGGGGAGAAAGCAAAAAAACAGGAGGAACAAGTGGAGACACCCGTCAACAGGAGACACTGGCCACGAAAACCCGGTAGACCCATCCAACATGAAGGGTGACGAGCGGAGTCACAAGTCACAGCAAACTCGGCAAACCCATCCTACGTGAAGGAAGACAATAGGAGACAAGCAAAGACACAACCCAAGGGAAACCCGATAGACCCATCCGTCATGAAAGGACACAAAGGCAGAATGGAGACACCCAACATGAAGGAAGACAAGTGGAGACACAAGCCACCGCAAATCCGCCAGGCCCATCCTTAGAAGGAATTGAGGACCCCAACAATCTACTGTTTTGGGGAGCTCCTTGAAAACAACAACCAAGAGCAAGTAGTGGGGCGTAGATGAAAATTATCATGTGGGGTCAAGGTAATCAAAAAAAATTCGGATTATAACAAAGTTCGTTATGTTGTGATGATTCGGGAGTTTACGCTGTGTTGTTTCGGGAGTTTATGCTGTGATGTTTCGGGTGGAGGTGTACACAAGTCAAGGGTTTTTGGCACATTGACAGTTCGGGACATGGGCGTTTGCATTTTAGGCTTCGGGATTTGGGTGCTTGCATTTGGTGTTGGGAAGTAGTAGGATTGGCTTAGGCTTGGTGTTGGTTAGTATTGGGGTTAATAGTTCATGGTCTATGTGTTGGTAATAGTAGGTTGTGTTGGGCAGGTGGTGAATAACGTTTGTTTAGGTGGTAGTTGGGGTCACACACATTTCTCATTCCGCTTCCTCTCCAAATGGCACTAGGGCGGTTCTTTGCCATGTTCAGAGTAAACAACCGAAACTGCATCAGGTTGTTCAACTCCCTAGCTCTTGTCTCCAGCATGGCGCGTCTTGTCTCGTCAATGCTTTTTCTTCTGGGTCTAACCTAACCCAAAAACCTTTCATGTGTTGGACCCCACATGATGGCCCCACATGGCCTTTTCAACATCCAATTGGACTCAGAAAGGCGAACTTTGGGTAAGTGTTTGTGGCATGTTCGGCCTGTAAAGGTAGCGGATTGCAAGTTCACAATGCCTCCCCCAAGGTGCTGCTAGATGCTGCGAGGTGCTGCGAGGTGCTGCAACGTGCTGCAACGTGCTGCAACGTGCTGCAATGTGCTGCAATGTGCTGCAAGCGACTCTTCATGAAGTGAAGCAATGAAGCAAACTCCGAGCACCGGGCATATTCATAAGCAGCCAGGTAGAGGCGGTGCCAAGCAGCGAAAGCCAACAACCGGAGGCGATGTCAAACATCTGTCTTTGTGCATAAACTTTGCCATCCACCTGAACTCAAAGCAATTGCGAATAACTGCGATCATTCTGCAAATTTCCGTTGAAGGCTGGCCGGGCCTCCTTGTGCCTGCTGTTCTCAAAAATTGCCGATTCAGTGAGAGACCATCGCATGCCTGAGTGCCCAGATATATCCAATATGCCGGAAGAATGCCGATCAAGGCGACTGAGTTCTTGTGCCGACTCGGGTTGCTGCAGAAGGCAATTGCAGACGGAACTGCTCCGAAGCCCAGGAGAAATCTCCATATAGCCTCAGACCGTTCAGATATGTTCGAAAGTACATTGCCTTCTTCTCCTCCTGCTCTGAAATTTTTTTGTACACGTACTTGGGCTGCGATCGCACGGTGTGGATGGCTCCGATTAGGCTGCTTTCCCTAATACAGGACCTGATCTCTCTCTAAGTCTATCGGTGCAAACGAGAAGCCTCCAGAGAGACCGGCATGCTCAGGAGCAACATGGCCTCGGCAAATCTCACAGAGCCACGTCAGGCCTCACAAGCCACAAATACAGAGAAAGACTACGGGAACGGCACTTCAGCATGTTTGTAAGGCAGCACTGTGAGGTGACGGCCATCATCGCGGAAGTCAGCATTCCAAACCCCTGCGTCAAAGTGCTGAATTTCATGAGCAGGCTGTTTTACAACATTTTACAACATTTTGCAACAGCTGTGTCCTGCATGGACACTACCAAAGCCATGGCTCGGCCGCGTCCTGCAGCTGTGATTAAGCAGCGAAGCACTTGCAAAAAATCAAATACCTTGCGCCGAGAATAGAGCAAACCCTCATTGCTGGAAAGATGCTGTTTGCATCTGTCATCGTCTCTGCCGTTACCTTGGGTGCTTGATTGCGGACACAAAAACTCGCTCTCAGTGGGCGACAATGACCAATGAGCTGATGGTCGAGGAGCTGTGGCTGACAACGGATATTCGCCACCCACGCCAAGTCCCAAGAAGAAGCGACAAACAGACATTTGGATCGGAGCTCCAGAGCAAAGTGCGCAAGAGAGAGCTCCGAGTATCGTCAAAGCTGCCGTCGTCACGAATGACCACTTCCGGCCCAGCCAATCAGCGATGTACCCGAAGGATAACTGCCCAATGACAACTCCAGCAAGCATCGCACTGACCATCATAGATTTAGCTCGGGCAGACACCAACTCTTCGCCATGCTCGAGCTGCAATATCAATACCACGATGTCGATTGTAAAAAGGTCGTAGGAATCTGCAAGGAATCCAACACAAGCAGCCAGCACGCGCCAAGTGCTCTCCGCACTAGCAGGGTGTCGAGTGGGAAGAAGGGGCTGACTTTCCCGACTTTCCAAACGTTCCCCCTCCTGGGGCTTCATTGCGGGTTCACCACATGGTCATCAAGGGGAAGCTTTCCCTAACAACTACTGAGCTCATCGCCCTTGAGCCGACTCTTGCATCCAGCAATCTGAAAACAAGGCCAAACAAGGCCAAAGCGGCTGAGGCCCCTTGAGGTGGCTGAGGGCAAATGAAATCAACCATGAGCAACCGTCAAACTTGGCAGCGAGACCTTGCTGAAAGTACTGTGCCCCTCAAGTGTCCGAAACCTGCGAAGAGAGCACCGAAGCACGAGAGCAGCAGAATCCGCCTACAAGCTGAAGTTATCAAAACCTGTGAGATGCTACAAGGCTCAACTTTGCCTTGGTGTAGACTCCTCGTCTCTGGCCATGTGCACATACTCTTTCAAGGTTGGGTATCTGGATGGATCGTGCTCAGTGCGAGGTGTGGGGAGCATAGGTCGCGTTGATGCCTTTGCGAGCTTCGTCGGGCTGCTCGGGCTTGCATCTGTGTCCATTGGATGCCACCCGGATTGCTTCAAGAAATCACGATCACAGGAGTACATCTGAACCGACCCCGAAAGCTGCACATACGAGCAGCATGCAGGATCGCCTTCCCGATACAAGACTTGTCCGGCAAGTGCTGAAACATAGGAAAGCGAGTCAGCCTCCACCAGGAGCTTTATGAATCCTGCATTCTGATGTTCCAGCTTCTGGAGCAGCGGGACCTCCAATGCAATTTGGTAGGGAGTCTGTCCATTCGGACCTTTGGAAAGGAAGCCATCCGCCACGATTGCTGGGGGCTTTCGCGTGGACCGAGCGTGTTCACTGATGATGTCCATGCCACGAGGACGGCGAAACGAAATCGTCGACCAGAGTCCAGTGAGGGCACGAATATCATCTTCTCGTTTCAATAGCCTGTAATCCGAACAGCTCACCGCGGCTTTGGAGACCATTCCCTTTGCAATGAGGTCCGTGCGCTCGTTTGGTTCTGGCTGTGGCTCTGACTGCACCGACCCAGGTGCAAAAAGCTCGTTCCACGAATCTGACGCTAGGTAGCCAGTAGTGAAAGACTTGACAGACGCTAGCGAAGCCGACGTCCAGGGACGCGCCGCGGACCTTGCGAAACGACCACAGGGATGGGTCAAGACTCTGGTAAAAGGGTACCTTTCTCTTTGTTGCCTCAAGGAGTGTTCACCAGGCGCGTCACCAAGGTGTCCGGCCTCTGATAATTTCATACTTGTCCGAAATTGTGCTAGCCAATACATTAACACACCTTTGCACTGCGAAACCAAACAGCAATCGAGGCAACCACTGGAGAAGAGTTTGGACGCAGAGTCCTTCTGCAGAGCGCTCATGTTGTTTGCAGCAAGTACGTGTCGTGGGTTTGCTGATTCTAGAGTTGCCTCGCATCTTCTGCAAGAAATATGCGGCTGTTGTCAGTGTCTGTGATTGAGCATTGCCAATACTCGGTCTTGCATGTGTTATATTTTTTATGGCGGGGGCAAGCACGAGAAAGCCACTACAACTGCCACTTCCGCTGAGCAACCTGTCAAGGCTTCGGCGGAGGACCTGTGATGCTATTTGATGCGGACGAGCGAAACCACGCAAATTGTCGAAGTCTGCAACAGTCAAGGTCCTACGCAGATCTGCGTCGTCGGGCTGTCCTTCCATGAATCACATTCAACTCGAGCCATTCCTTGTCACCGCTCTGACTGTGACTAGTGCCTGGTTGGGATTGCCACGTGTCATAATGACCTGCGAAACATGAAGACCATGATGTTTCAAAGGCTGTGTGCAGCATATCTGTTCACTTCGCAACACGCAAGAACAAATTGGTACCTTCCAAGATATGCAAAAGACCCACCGAGCCTCGCAGAGATGGCGACAACCTCAGCGTGCACAGCCAACAACACCAAGAAGTAAAAAAATCCCAAGCACATTGAAACATACTGAAGCATGCTGTGGTCAAGGCGGACGAGGAGCTTTCGGCCTTGATCAAGCGCTGAAGCGTGCTTCTCGTCAAGCACATAACAGTTCTCAGCAAGTCGGCATGGCACCACACGAGCATTGCATTGCCGGGAACAGCCTGGTGATGGCGTCATACTGCGCCGGCATGCGCCAACTGTTGTCTTATTCCACAGCCATGGGCAACGTTTTTGAAACAAAAGCTGCTTGTTGGTTGATGCGCATCACCTGCAAAACAAACCACTCGATGCCTTGACAAGAGGGTCCATGATTAAAAGGTGCCCGATACGTATTGTTGGTGCAAGAAAGCATGTTGCAGGGGCATATCAGCTACAAATGCTGAGTTCGGTGCACAATGTCAACTTTGCACGTAAACAGAATTCCCAATCTCGTCCAGCAATGCACATCTTAAACCCAAGTTATAAGCAGAGAGGAATGTCCGGTGTAAAAACTCCACAGCTTTCCCAAAGCACCTGTAGGCCCAAGGAAAAAGCGTGCAAAAAGCAATTGACAGCTTTGAAAGTGTTTGCCGCGCAAGCTTCCGTGCTATTAAGCTGCGGCTTATGCCTCGTGGGCAGTGTAAGCCGAAAGGCGTCGGTGTTTCTGAATTGTAAACTCCCAACACCCCTTAGCCCGCATTTTTGTGAAGACGGGAGCGTTATGAAACACGTGCATGCTGTGGGATATTCATGCTGTGCAGCCTTCTATTTCTGCATTGTGAAAGCCTTCTGTCATTCAATCTTCCGTCGTATTCTCATATATTCCAGATTGCGTCTTTTTTGCGGCACTAAGAGGCACACTCTTTCTCTCTGCACACTCCGTGTGCTGCGCGCGCTCTGTGCTCTCTGTGATTTTGGCGGCTTTGTCCTTCCGGGTTTCCGGCGTGTGGCCCTCGTCAACAGGCTTATTCCCAGCATGGCACGCGAGCATACTGTCAAGATGTCTGTAAAGATCCTATCAGTCTCGAGAATTGGAGGTCTCTCAACGGCACAAGGGACACTCAAGCTCAGCTTCTGAAGCTGAAGTCTGCTCGGAGCATGCAGCTCCAAAGGCCACAGAACCCTTTCATTAGCTATGCTTGGACACCCTACCCGACAGCTGGCGGGTGGCCAACGTGCACTTTTTGACATCAGCTGCTCAGGATTGCCCCATTCAGTGGACAGGTCCATCGCCCAGGTGTTCCTGGGTGGCCTACAGACCAACAGGTCTACAGACTAACAGACCAAGGAGTTTGCATGCAGCACACATGCCTGTGCAGGTGATACTCGCCATTCAGACATGCTTTCAGCATACTGACGTTATTCACCAAACAAGACAGACCAACAGTTGGCATTCAGCACACATGCCTGTGCAGGTGATACTCGCCCTTCAGACATGCTTTCAGCATACTGACGTCATTCACCGAAGAAGATTTTGCCGACGACGGTCAAGGCTGCAGCAGCAAAGTAAGCCAGCAAAGACTTCTGAAGCGCAGGGTTCAACGGCATGTAGAACATCGTTGTCTGGAAATCACCTCTCCGGCATCACATCACTGTCAGGCAACTCCAGAATCTCACGCAGCAAAACCCCTGCCTCCGGAGGAGAGCCTCTTCACCATGACATCAATGAACGACCGGACATACTGGACATCCGGGCCAACAGTGCGCAGCAAAGAAGCCTCATAAAGAAGGCGTGCATCAACGAATAGAATGGAATAGAATAGATGTGGCATGAGCAAAAACGCGTGCCGTCGGGTGCATGCGGGTGGGCCTGCCTCCTTCATCTCCAGCAAGGACTGTAGGTGGCTTTGTTGCGCATAATGGCATCCGACCGCTGCATTGATGCAGAGCCACGTGGAGATAGCAAAGACGAGCGTCAAGTAAGCTCCCCCCGCGTTGGGGGGCTTGTTAAAGACAACATACTGGACCACAGCATCGGAGATGAGGAGCACGCAGACAAACAACAATGACATGACAACTTGCTCAAATCTGTCCAGGATGAAGCGGACGTCGTTGTGAAGGAGGGAGGCTCTGGCCATCTTCCAAGCCTCCAAGTGCCAACTTGAAAGCCGCTGTTGATGGATCCAGCGCTTGAGGATCAGATCCAGGATCTTCATCGGATGCTGTGCCATCCGCAACCCCTGCAAAGTTTTCATAATGGTGACTCCGAAGAGGGAACCCATGATGCAGAAGATGAGCGCCTTCATTGCGAGGCATACCCACACAAGAGGAGTGTCGGGAACTCCATGGTGGACAGGGGGCAAGGTCATCCGGGTCAGCGTTATCTCCTTGCCAGCGATGCACCATGGGCTGTAGGAGTCGGTAGTATTTGTCAGCATGCATCGGGTGGCTTGCAGCGCTGGCTTGTCCAGCACGTAGTATGCTAGAGCCCAGGAGTCGCCATGCGGAACTAATGAGATCATCAGAGCAAAGCCGGTTAGACCGAAGATTGTCCCCAAGACATGATGAGCCCGAAGACTCCCACAACAGGCGCCCTTGTCGACTGCAGCATCCTTGGACGGAGGCTTCCTGAAGGACTGAATAACGGGACAGAACCAATAGAGCTTGAAGATCTCAATCTTGGTCATCCTGGCTGCACTGAGATGTTCTTCCAACTGCCGCTCGGCAACTGCAAACTCCCTTTGGGCATCTTGTGTTTCCTGTGTGCCAGGTTCACCTAGGAGTCTTGTCTCCAACTTCGCACGCTGAAGCAAGAATTCTTCCGGGCCCTGCAAGCCGCTGGCATCCTCCTCATTCTCTATCTGAGCCATCCGCGCATCAAAGTCATGGATCAACCTCAGAGGACCTGTTTCCTCGCCATCTACCTCCTCTGCCCCCATCAAGAAGCGAAGGATATCCACGCCGATCAGCATGGCATTTGCGAGGCTTGAGTTTTGAACCCTGCTGGCCTCACGCATCACGTGCATCTGATGGCGAACCAAAGCCTTGAGCTCCACAGCAGCTTTCGTTAACCTGTTCACTTTGATCACATTGAAATCGGTCCACTCATCGAGCATGTTCTGCTCGCGCATCATCACAATGGGCCTCGGAAGCACGGCTGTTCTACACTGTTGGCGCACAGCTGCAGGCTGCACATGTCGGGAAGATTCAAGAGCAGGAACGCTGCTACTATGGAAAGCCTGAGCATGTCTTCAGCACATGCTTCGCTACACAATGCTACACTCAGCTCCTCAGCTCCCTGACGAGCGTCAAGGCAACATATTCTTGAGGATTTTCAGGACAGATGTAAACGTCACTGTCGTTGTCACCACTCGCGTTGAGATTCTTGTCCACGATCGTGGCAGCGCTGGATCGCGGCAAAATGCCCAAAGCAAAGAGCTGGAAGGCAGCTGTGATGTCTTGTCGGCGCGAGGCCTGTGACTTTTCTTTGGTATTCAAAAGCAAGGCAGCGAAGTCCTTCCAAACTTCCTCTTCACACGACCTGCAGGGCATACATGAGTCTACGTGTTGAAGGTTTGGCGGAATCTGACAGTTGAGCGGCAAGCATCACGTTTGGAAGGCTGAAGCGGCTCTTGATGCGATCTTTAACTTCAGTTGAGGCTAGGCCCTGCCTCAAGTTACAGAATTACTGGTAGTCCGGTGGCACCTCAAGGCTTGGACAAGCTCATAGTAATGTTGGGCTCGGTATAGCTACAGGGGCCGTTAGCAATCAAGCGTTCTTCCGGAAAACTTATAGTGGACCCCCCCCACTGATGAGGGTGGTCCGCAAGTATGCGACGTGCGTGGCCCGGCGGGGATGAAGGGCGGGGGGCCGGGGAGCCAAAAACTGAAAACTATTTTGAATAAGAAACTCAGGAACTTTTTGGTGTCCGGCTATATTTAAATTCCTGTTTAAAGCTTCATTACGAAACAGGCACCCTGAGCCGTTTTTAGTCAATTGTTTCGGTTAACCGCATTAATCCGCAACCCCCTTGGCTACAAAGCCTGGAAGGCTTAGACCCTCAAGCTTCAAGGCTTCCCCTCGGCCCTCGACCCCTCGCCGCCCTACCCCCAGCCCCCGTCCCAGCCTTTCGAGGATCCCCGAAACCCAATTGTTGGGGAGGGGGGGAGCGGGGCCCTGGACACTAAATCGAGCCCAACATTAGCGCACGTGTGCGAAGCTGGGCCTTCGGCTCTCGCGGTCCTCCTTAAGCTCGGCGGGCTGCGACTCTTTCAGCTTCAAGTCATTCAGGCCCCTGGCCTCCAAGAATCTTTGCAAGCCCAAGCCTCCTAGCTCGCGGTCCACAATCCTCCTGGCGGCCTCCCGGGGCATAGGTCGTCCAAAATCCTGCCTTGCATAGTCACACAAACTCGTTGCGGTGTGCCTCGCATAGTCAATCGTTGTCATTACTTTCTCTACACGCACGAGAGCGTCCGTAGGCTTGGGGCGCAAGAACGAGCATGGGCAAAACCATTTTGATGGCTTTTGAGCTGTTGAGGCCTTCGTCACCGATAAGGGTAGCGTCACCACCGAACCTGACAAGGACAGACGAGTCTCCCCTGGGCAAACGCACAAAGAGCATGCCAAATTGAAGGCCAGCTGCTTTCTGCGAATCCCTTGACAACAAACTCCTCCCATGTCTTCTGTCGCTGCTCGGCGTTGAGCTCCTTCTCGCGAGCTTGTCGTAACCTTGGCGCTGCTTCGTACGTGAGGTAAGAAAAACACGGGCCAAAATCATAAGCGACTAAGCGACGAAGCAGCAGAAGAACCTCCATCCTGCCCAGAAGCTGTTGCGTCCCGATGACCCCCTGGTCCAATAAAGCACCGATGAAGCACAAAGCGTATATGATGAGGAACACCGGCCATCCCTGCTCAAGATACGCTCCTGTCGCAAATTGGCAAAGCACTGAGGACGTCAAGAAGCTGTGTGACATGTGTGCTGGTCCTGACTCTGTCTTAGCTACTGTGCACGGCACACGCTATCACATTCTTGCCGTCCTGCTGGGCACACATCTTCCAACGCGGACCAATTTCCAAATCTAATGCACGCATTGTCATACCCACCCGCGTCTGGCTGGGCAGCAAAACGCACCAAGACTGAGTGCAGAGCGCACATAGAAATGAGAATGACGATGACGATCAAGTGATTATCATCGTATCCGGCTCTCGAACAACCAATGAAGTGAGCGATGTCGGAAGTCTGGCGCGAATAATACTCGTCGCGGTCAACACCCCGGCCTCTGCGCCAAGCGTACACGATGGTGAGAATGAACCAGGAAAACCACACAATGGTCGTCCACATTGGGCTGAAACCGCAAACGACAGGGCAGACGGTCTGGCGCGTCAAGACGTCAACTGTCGGGTCCCCAATCGTGCAGCCGCTGATGGTGCCATTGACATCTTCCATTTCTGGCTTTGTCTCGCTGCAAACCACGGGTGAATCCGTTGCAAAGGACATCAGCAAGCAAGGCAAGAACAACAGTGGCTTGTAATTCCGCTGAGCCTTAAAGCGGAGGCTCACGAGATCGTCACCAGGCAACTGATGGTTCTCGAAGTGCTCCCACCAGTCCCCGGCAAGACTCGGTGACCAAGATTGGTCTTGGCCCTCTTGGCCCTCTTGGCCCTCTTGGCCCTGTTGGCCCTCTTGGCCCTCTTGGCCCTTTTGTTGCTGCACTTCCCCGGCAGACGGGGCTCCTATGTCTAGCTCTGGCGAGCTTGCTGGAAGCGTGGGCCGGGGTATCACGTCAGGCTCACAGGGAAGTGGAACCACAGCCACGGACATGATGAAAGCTACCAGGAGCGCAAGCCTTGACTGTGAGTGCTCTTCTACCAGCTCATGGCAAGTGAATGGGTCCTTTTCTGGGTTTCCACTCTGCATGCGACATGTTGTCACGGGTTCTTAGCACCTACCAACACTCGTCGCACTACGCTATTTATCACATTGGAGCCAAAAACCTTGACAAGAAGCATCTCCATGTCCATGACCGAAGTTGACCCTGTGCTTCCGAAAAGCTATGGCAGCTATCAGAAATACTGTAGCCGCAATGTCAACCCGGACAGCTTAGGAGCGAAGCTCAAACTGAGCAAGCGACTCACGGGACAAAGCCCAAATGCGCCTGCGGGGAGGGTAAAACAATGTCCACAGCCCGGCGGAGCAACGCCTACACAAATCAATCCAGGCTCAAAAGCCCACAACACTGCGCAATGAAGTCTGTTTTACGCTTGGTGAAATTTTTGCGCAAATGAGGTTCAATCTTTCCGGTTCAGGTTCGCACCGTCTGTGAAGCATGACTGACAACCGAAGCCTATGCCAACCAATCCGTCGGCAAGGATTTGGCTGGGCTGGTACTTGTGGAGGGCTTATCTCACATCAGGCCGCGAGAATACACATCCCCCACCGCGGACGCTGCGCATCGGGAAAACATCAGCGGCGGAATTTCAAGTGGACGCTGGTTTGATGGCAAGCAGCCAACATCGGTCAATTGGTCAAACTACCGGATTTGCTGCGGACGCCAGCGTTCTTAGGACGTTTTTACAGTATATTGACCATGTTTCAAACGCATATCACCATGTAGACACTAGAAAAACAGGCCTCAGGAATCTCTCTTTCGATTCAACATAAACTGCCAATTAGTTCAGTTGTGGCGATGGGGGGTGACTGAAGCCACCCTCATCAATCTCTATTACATACCTTGCAACTCTCGAAGACATGCAAAGCCTGCACGACGCCGGCTTCGACGCAGAATCACTGGTCACTGTATGTTTCCAAACACGTGAGAGAAGCGCATCGCTTTGAGCTGCAGGTGAGAGGACACGCGGGCTGCAGGCAAAATCGAGCGACACCCGGAATTGTGGCGCATCAGGTGTCGCAGAACTTTATCTTTATTGGTTTATAAATGTTCCCTATATCGCCTTGAGCAACCAAATCACGAGGCCCTAACCCCTAAAATTTTAACACCCAAACCATTCAGCCCTGAACCCTAAAACCGTAATCAAGGTCCAAACACCCAAACCCTAAACCCCTAACCATTAACCGTTAACCTTTGGCTTAAACATAGGGTTGCAGGGCAGCCTAGCAAAAATCGGTTACGGCTACGGCAAAAATCGCTGGTTTTTGATCCTCAGTTTAAGTTTTCGCACCGCGCCGCACCGCACCGCTCCGCACCGCACCCCCGCACCGCGCCGCGCCGCACAGCGGCGCTTAAGATCCGCAGCTCCCCCACACGCCCACGCCGCACCGCGCCGCACCGCCGCACTGCGTCACAACCCTACACGCCACGCCCAAAAAAGCAAGTTGCGAGGTTGCGTGATGCAGAAAAGACTACCGAAGACTGCAGGGCTGAGTCTTCCAGGGTAAATACCCCGCAGAAACTGAGTGTTTAACCGAGTCTTTCAGACAAAAAACGCGGTTTCGACAATAAGTGCATCCGCACGACAAAAATGACGAAACTGCGTCGCGAAATAAAATGAACGCGTTATGCGACATGCAACACACGACACGTTGCGCGACATGCAACGCGCGACGCGGAACGTGACATGCAAGCATGACGCGAAACGCGACATGCAGATGAAACGCGTTGCGCGACATACATATGCGACATGCAACACACGACGCGTTGCGCGACATGCAAACGTGAACGCGTTACGCGACGTCAAAACGTGAACGCGTTGCGCGACATGCAAGCGTAAACGCGTTGCGCGACGTCTCTCTCTGAGGCAGGCCTCAACCCTTGCTACAACACAGCTGAGAGGATCGAGGATCTACGTTACAGCTCCGCAGCTCAGAACTGAATCCTGTTGCGATTCCTCCTCTTTCCTCAAACGTAGATCCTCGATCCTCTCAGCGGTGTTGTGGCAAGGGTTGAGGCAGAACTGCCTCAGAGAGAGGCTGTGTTGTGGCACGGGTTGAGGCCTTCTGCCTCAGAGAGAGGCTGGATGTCTGGATGATTGTCTCTACCCCTTACCCCTTTGAGGCGGGAGAATCACGCGGCCAAGTAGGCACCGGAGGTTCTCCGTCGCACCATCGCTGCCTGGTAGGGTACCGCATGTGGGAGTGGTTCTAGCTGAAAGCCATGCCTCGGCAGGTCCCCGATCATGCTTGACAGACGCGACTGGAAGTACTTAATTTTGTTCTCAAATTCACACCATGAATATATTCTCCATCCTTTCTATCACTCAGCACTACACATTCAATCCAGTCGATCCATTTTCCGAGGAAGGGCACAGAACCGATCGCCTGTCTGATGTGCAGGTCTTCTGTCTCATTGGGTGCAAAACACGAAAAGCCCCTACAGGCATGTGAGAAACGGAGTTCCTTGCTACACTCAGAGGCTCCGCCTAAGTAAGCGTCCTGTCAGTGGGTGAGTCGAAGACTGAAGTGCGTGCAAGTACCGGGACGCAACGGCAAGTCGCTGAGGTTCGTGCTAAAGGGCACACGTCGGCCCTGCAGCTCCAGGCAAAAACTGGAAGTACGTAAATCATGCCCAGTGCGATGCCACACATCATCAGCAACCGCAAACTTGATGTCGTCGACTGTTCCTGTAGTGGCCACTCTACACTACAAAGCACAACATCCACAATCGGAACATTGGTGACCATCACCGCCAGCCAGTGGACCCTCGATTCTCGGTTTGTGTTCTCATCAAGACCCGCTGTTTCAGCATCTCGTTTCATCCCAGAGGCCAAGCGCCCGTTGCTATTTGAAGCTCCTCAAAGACAGACAACAGTTAGCCTCAGACGTTCTTGAGCCTTAAACGCAGCACATGACAAAACGACTGGGGAGCTGGCGCAGGCATCACTGCTCACTGACAGTGAATGATCGCACAACACAGATGCACGCAAGCAAACACCTTTTGTACTTCCCTTCGCCTGCCAAGCAGACTTTAATAGAATGGATGGGGTCGGCCTACTGTGGGTCAAGAAACTCCCAAGAGTTGTCACGAGACGCAGAGCTGGGATGCTGTGAGTTCGGCTGATTATCTTGCTGCGCAGAAGATGAGCTCGCAGCCTGTGAGAGCGACGCATTCAGCTGATCACGCCTGGCTTGCAAGCGACCACGGATTTCCAGCTCCCTGTCTGCCAGAACATCCTCGATTCGTTCTGCCACCGTGACAAGTTGGTCCACACTCAATGTACGGACCCACATCTCAAACGCTCTCATCTGCAACGCGGTGACCCTGGGAGGTGCGTCCATTGCAAAGCAAGTTGAGAAGAAGCTTGGGCCGCCACACTACGAACTCAGGGGAGATGTGAGCCAGGTCGTAGGACTGTCACTGTACAACAGCACCGATCCTTCAATGCTGAGTGGGAGGGCGGGACTTTTTATTCTGCTCACCTGACTCTCCAGGTGCTCTCTCAGGCTGAGCCAAAATTTTCTCACACATTCCATGGTGAAAAATTTTGTCTCAAAATAAAGGTTTGTACTCAAGAGCACAATGCCCTTATTTTGCTCTCAAATTCACACCATGAATATATTCTCCATCCTTTCTATCACTCAGTACTACACATTCAATGCAGTCGATCCATTTTCCGAGGAAGGGCACAGAACCGATCGCCTGTCTGATGTGCAGGTCTTCTGTCTCATTGGGTGCAAAACACGAAAAGCCCCTCCTAGGTAAGGGGAGAAAAGAAGACAGAAGTCCTTTCCTCGGTCAAGTAGCCTGGTTAACAAAGCGGTGCGCTTGTCTCAACACCTCACACAAAGTTTCCACAACAACGTCATCGTGAATCCTGCCAGAATTTGGAAGACCCAAGAAGCAGCCGCGACTCGGTGCATCATTTTTCATTTCACACGCTGCACGAGAGTCTCGAGTCGAGCGGGCGCAAATCCTTAGGATTTGTTGGACACGAATGTCCCGCCGGGAGCAGCACGGCGCCGAAGCGCAGCGTGCCTGAGCATAACAAGGTGCTTCGAAAAGCCGACCTTGAAGCTATCCTCCACAGGTCTAACTGTACAGAGAGAAGCCCACAAGTAAGCAAAAAGCTGACAGCAAGAAATTAACTAAATAAAAGTGATAAGGAGGGCCGAAGGATGGCACCACGTGTGACAACACTGGAGTCGAGTCATAAGCCACACTCCGTTGCTTTCTCGATTGCGCAAGCACATGCAGGACCCCATGGACTGAATGTCATGACGCCAGGTGGGCGAAGACACAGCACTGGCCCCACGCTTTGGGCGTGTAGCCATCACCAGCAGGCACATTGGCACATTGTCCTGCTTTCACTCCACTGTGCGAAATGTTGGCCGAAATGAAGGCCGCCAGTATTGTTCCTACAACTCCACCATGCGTGCAGCCAAAGCACCAGCTGATAATAATGCCAACAATGAAGTAACTGTAAGCAAGCCAAAACGTAGAAAGCCAAAAGCGTAACACCCATTGTCAAGAAATTGGCGCGCGAATCACCAGT